GGGGGTTATAAGAACTTTTTTAAGTTCTTATAAATTACTATTTTTGTTCTCCAGCTGCACTCACACCGTATGTTTGAGTCCCATGGCTCTCATCAACTTCCTTTTTAAAACTACTTGCAACTATTTTGCATATAGATAAAAATGACTTAAGCATTGCGGTTTATGGAATAAGCCGGTATGGTCTGAGTCACCCAGCCCTAGTGACCAGTATGTGACCCCACTGAGTTGTCTGCAAATACTTCCCATTTGCTTTCTGAGTCGTAGTAAAACTTGTAAAAGTGCAACACAAACCAAAGACAGAGAATGCTATCTTGAGAGCAGAAGTTGTGTCTTCTAGTTAGCATTACTCTGTTCAGAGTTTCACTACTGCTAGGTGAGTAGATTTTTGCAGGTGAGCTATTGTCTTTCACATGACCTGCAAGCAACCAAAGCAGTCACACAGAGATTTTTCAAATAGCAGGCCCAGGGGTCACTGGCTGGTCTCCAGGCCCATGTTACTGGGGCTTTAACAACTGATTTCACAGTGAATGCCACCAACCACTCACACCTGATTAAAGCATAGATATGTTATCCTTGCAACAGATGGTTGCCAGATATGATGCTGCAGGCCTGTGTGACTAAGGCCCAAGTGTTATTAACAGAAGTAGCTGCTAACAGTGTCTCTTTTTGTCACCTTTTTTTTTTTTACTGTCCCAGTATGGTTGTTTAACACCAGAGCTAAACAAAAATAATAGATAAGTAAAAGGAAGCAAATAAGCACATTAATTTTGACATAGATCTGAAATACAGAGGCCAAAATCTACAGCCATAGTAATGTAAACGTTTAGAGTAAACTTACATCTGACACCTGCTTCACTGAAGGTAATCTTATCATTTCTTTATTGAGCTTGACTCCAAACACAACATAAGCTGTCCCCTGGACTGGCTCTCCATACAGGTACCTGAAACACAGTCCCCAAAACAGTTATCCACCAGTCAATGGTGTGTTTATAATACCTATCTAACAGTTCCCAAGCCAAATGAAGCCAACACAGAAAATGCAGTTGCTCTAATGACCTCTTGGACAGACAGTAAAAAACATGGACGTAACGTCTGGGTCAGAAAAACTAAGGCATTGCAGATGAGCCTTAAATATGTATTTTGAAGCCCCAACGTGCTGCTTCAGAGAAAATACAAAGTCCAGAAAATGATGACCATGAATGTTCTTATGGCTAAGAATGTCATTACATTTGTATTTTTAAATTCTTGACTATTTTAGAGTCTGTTTACAGGGTAGGACATCATTTCTAAGGAAGAGTTTAGAAGAGTTTATACACAACTCAGCCCAAGATTAAATAAAATAACCTAAAATTCATTGTGATGGAAATAACATTTCATCATTATCATCATCATTTATTTATATAGCACTTTAAAACACACCTGGTAGACCAAAATGCTGTACAATACAAATATAAATATAATAATAGAAAGCAGAAACTAGACATAGCAATAAAATTAATAAAAATGTCGGTTATCCACAGAGTTAAAAGCCAGGGAATAAAAATAGGTTTTTAATAAGGACTTAAAAACTGGAACTGATGAAGCCTGTCTAATATGGAGAGGAAGGTTATTCCAAAGCATCGGCGCTGCGACAGACAACGCTTGGTCTCCTCTAAGTTTCAGCCGTGACTTTGGGACCGAAAGCAACAACCGCTCAGCTGTCCGAAGGGAACGAGTGGGGACACGGGGCTTCAACAAGTCAGACAAATAAACAGGTTTCAATAGCATTGAAAGGCTAGGATTTAGTTAGAGACTAAATATGACCAAAGGATGTCACAAGTAAGAGAGTTTGTTGGTGTGTTTAAGTGTAATAAACAAACCTGGCTGAGATTTCTACTACCAGTTCACTGTCATCCAAGCTAAGGAAGGTCTTCTTGGGTGTTAAGGTAACATTGAAGGCAGGAAGCACTAAAAAAGAAACATTACAATGAATGTGACATTCAGAAAACACAGGGAAAGATATTATTCATTTGATTAGCATAATAACTCCACCTACCATATTTCTTCACCTGAAACTGAGAGGTGAAAGTGTTCTCCTCCCAGTGGTCAAACCTTGCTTTAATAATCCATGTTCCTTCACTATAAGACATAAATGTTGCTCAACACCCAACGCACTGTTCATCCCAACAATGTAAAGGTCAAATAAAATGTCTTTGCTTTTGTTCTTCTCTTTCCTAACTGAGATTCTAACATTCTGCCATGTTGTTCGTCTTGCTGACTCGCTGCACATATTAAGCAGCAAACAGGTACTCTGTGTGCCACCCAGTCAGCATTTGTAAGATACTCTAAAATCTAAACTGGTGCAGGTGGTGGCCTAAAGTAAACATGTGCATGAGATAAAATCATACTGGAATGATGACTTCCTAAAAATTTGATAAGACGACTTAGAAGCCAAGAATCTATCAAACATCTGTGTTAAACTTTCACACAGCTTGTAATATAACAAAATAGTTACCAAATGAGTCGATACTTACTTGACGTATTCAGAGAGTGGAAATGTTTCTGAAAAGATCCCATCAACAGCCCTGGTCCTGGAGACCTGTTTAACCACCACACCATCTGGATTCTATAACACAGAAACTACGTCAGCATTTGAGCTGATACATTCAGTACATGACAGGGTCATCACCAAAATACTGCCAGAATCCAGTTTCTACAAAAGCTACCAAGTTATGTAGCTACAGGACAATCCCTCTTGTACTGTCACATGGATGGTTTTAACATCTTTTGGCACAACCATTTTATATTTCAGCATTCACAAAAAAAAAAATTATATTTGCAATCAATGGTTTGTTCACCTCAATATCTATTTCGATGGAGTTGTTGAAGGCCCTAAAGGTTGGAGAAGACACAAAGGCTCGAAGTCGAACTGGAGACGAAAGGAAAAGAAAGTGGACATTTCTTTTAAATCAGTCAAACAAAATTATTATTTATGATCTTTGCTACTTAGCAACCACTATCACTATCATCTCAAAATAGTCCTTAACAAATATGCTATTTAAGATTCAACCTGAAAACTATCTCGTCTAGTCATGTTATAGTTGTTTTAATTGTTCGCATCTTTATTTTGAAGTTTTCTTTGAAGTTTTAATGAATATCCTCTGTTCTCACCGGTATCTCCTGGGTTGTAGATGGGTTTGTCTGTCTGGATAAAGATGTACCCAGAGTGAAAGGTTACCATCAATAGCCTCTTCTCAACGTGGAAACCTCCAAAGGTCACTTTCAAATTCACCAATTTCTTCTTCTTTTCTTCGCGATTCAGTAAATCAGAGGAAAGCTGCGATGAGATGTGATTGTGATATAGAAGACAGTTACTCTCAAAAGCTGCTCTCAGTCAGTGAATTTTATCAGTATTTTATTTCTAATTTCTTTCATTCACTTTGACTTTAGCATTTATTTCAATTTGAAACAGTTTGGATTACATTCTGTCAACCAGAATGTCAAAGATGATTTTGCTCAGGATCCATTACAGTTGACAGGTTACTACAATGTGTGAAGTACAGAAAGACAGTTATGTTGGTACTGGTTGCCTGTACGGCACAAGGTAGTGAGAACCTAAATTAACTGAGAAGTCAAGGAAGTTCACAAACATTCATATCCAAGACAAGCTGTACAAATTAATCTTGTTCCACAACAAACTGACTCTCAGGGGGACAAATTCTTGGGAATTTTAGGAGGGGCAACGTCTTACCATCGCATTAGCTCACTGGTGCTTTGACTGGATGAGCTAACAATAAATAAATATGAGCGAAGGCGGCTGCATGCAACAATGAGAATGACTTCTTTTTATTTTAAGAAAAAACAATCAACATCTAAGATTTTGCACTTCTCCTTTTGTAACTGTTTGAGGCTATTTAGTGAACATCATATCACAAATAGTTCACACATTTTTCAGATGTAGGTTAGTAGCTTCCGATAAATGACACTTGTGCACATATCCTCTGTTTGAGTTGAATGGGTAACCTTAAATATGAGCTTGCTGAGTCACCTGTATAGGCTTGAGGGTGCTGAATCCATTTGCCTGATTTAGTGTGACTGAGTCCTGTAATAACGTGACAGCCTCGTTGAAGTTCTGGATCACGATGGAGACCGCAATGGGGTCAGACACACTATCAGCCTGTAAGTAGATGTTCTCATCGCTGTCTGTCCTCAGCACATCTGGAGCCAGCAGAACAAACCTGGAGGAGAGCAACAAAACATGGATTTCAGTAATACTACTGTCACCAGTGGTTCAGTCTTTATTGTGGCTACTGCAGCACCACTGTTATACAATTTCAGCACTCCTATGTTACTCTGGTGAACAATTCTAGCAAAAAACCAATTTCATTTTGAACCGACAAGCCAAAGCATGAAATATGAATATCTAACAGAGTAATAAAAAAAAATAAAAAATAAACAAATAAAGATAGAACACACTTTGGTAAACATAATATACAATTTGGTTTGACTGATGTATTAAGAGAAGGCATTTGGTGAGCATCTGTACCTTGGTGAAGGATTAATTGTTTTCTGTGGTTTTTCTTTCCTACAAATGAAGAGGAAACGTATTAATTTCAGTCATCACATAGTGCTGCTAACTGAGACTCGGATAAAACATATTTTGCACATATAACAATGTACGGCTCATGACACTGCATTTTTCTATTCATCTTCAGTGTGGGAACATTTACTTATGTAATACCAAGTACCATATTTGTTGCATGAGATTTTGTGAGATTTTGAGACGTCTGCATCAGCAGCGGGATTTTTTTCTTAAATAAAAAACCTAATTAAAAATGAATTGTACAAAATTCATTTTAAGAAATAAGATAAGATAAGATAAGATAAGATAAGATAAGATAAGATAAGATAAGATAAGATAAGATAAGATAAGATAAGATAAGATAAGATAAACCTTTATTAGTCCCACAGGTGGGAAATTGTTTGGTCACAGCAGAAAGTACAAGTTTAAGATCAGTAAAAGTTAAGAAAAGCACAATAGAATAGGATAAGAAAAAATAGAATAACACACTATACAACAAGAATAAAATACTTTATACAATAGAATAAAGTGCTCTACAAAATAGAATAAAATTCTTTGTCATAGTAGGAAAAACTGTACTTGGTAATATTGCAAATCAGTTACAATTGTGTGTGTGTGTGTGTGTGTGTGTGTGTGTGTGTGTGTGTGTGTGTGTGTGTCAGCACATGTGGTCATCTGCAGAAACCATGTTATAAATAAACTGCACAAAACATATGCCACATGCAGCAAATATGATACAAATTTAAACTGATATACAGTATTTCATTTCTTCTTCTTCTTTAAATGTCACCAGGTTCAATAAACTCTTTTCAAACAATGCAAATTTTTGGCAATTATTTCAGACTGGCTTAACAGGGTTACAATTAAAATGGAGAGGGGATAATGACATGCAGGTTGCAATAACAAATGTAAAAAAAAAAAGGAATAAGAAACAGCATGCCTTAATGATATTTTTAAAAGGGACATAAGAAATTCTCAATCATTATAGCAGAAAAGGCCACACAAAACCATGATGAGAATATGTTTGATAAGGAAATGAGAGCACATATCCAAAGATTGAGGGTAATAAATATGAATTTGACATTTTAAAATACATGTTAAAGAAAAACAGTGAATCAACACATCTTAATTTCTTAACTTATTCCTTTTTTTAGTTTATGCATATTTTGCTTTCTGTTAGGCCAAATCCATCAAAGGTTACTTACTCATGAAGATGCCAGTATCGGTCAATTGGTACAAATCTGGGGATGAGATTCAAAAACAATAACTGAAGCTACCAGAGGCTTAACCTTGTCTGTACTATATGATTCTTGCTCACAGACCTCCTGTGTAAGCATGTTTGTGCACACACATACATACCTGTCCCTCCATGGATGCCTGTAAAGATCACAGCACGATTATTATGCAAAACCTCAAAGATGTAATGTCCAACACACAGCAGGTACTGAGTAAGTAAAGCCTCTTACCTCCTAGAATGGTCAAATTGTCCATTTGAGTTGCAGAAAAGTACAAGGAATAAAATGTTGTGTAGCTTCAGTCGAACCATAACGATTGTCTTGGAGTTTCTGTGGACTATGGCTACCAGTCAGTCACCTAATTTGAGAGACCCAAAAACTACTGTAGTCAATAGAAAGGGGAGGGATGTAGCTGCTGATCAATAAAACAAACTATAGACTTGTTTGGCAAAGAATGATGGGGAGGTCTTAACCAGGGCAAAGGGTCGTTTTGTTTTTAGTTCACTTATTTTACTTACTAACATGACGAATGAAGCTCAGCTGGAAGTTGCAGTAGCACAAACCGTGCATTTCATTGTCAACTGAATGTGCACGCAGCAGTCATGTGGTAATGAAGAAAATGTGTAAAGTTGTTGTATTATTTGTGACTGACACAGCACTGGCTTGGCTTTCTTGTTATCTGTGTCTGTTTTTTTCAAGCAACTGGTGGGTGGACCTGACCCAGTTTCAGATGTTGGCCCCATTGGGATCACCCATTTACGCTGTGTGGAGATGTCACATATCAACTCCTATCAGGTTTAAACTCAATGAAGAACCCAAATCACAGGCTCATCTGGTGGGCTTTCTTTCAGTCTGACAATTTGGACATTCAGCATATCAAAGATAATGTCATGGCAGATGCTTTGTCCCGTGTTCCTCAGGCATTTGTCACAGCTGTATCATTAATATGCTTTGTACTAGTTCCTCTTCAGTATTCCTTCCTCCGCTAGGATCCAAGACAGCTGAGTCTGGAGATGGAAGCGGTTTGAGCATATATCAACGTGCTTGGCAGTGAGATTGATTATGAATAAAAAATCTGTAAAATGCATATGTTACATGTGTTAGGTTTATTTATAATGTCAATACAGGGAGTGCAGAATTATTAGGCAAATGAGTATTTTGTCCACATCATCCTCTTCATGCATGTTGTCTTACTCCAAGCTGTATAGGCTCGAAAGGCTACTACCAATTAAGCATATTACGTGATGTGCATCTCTGTAATGAGAAGGGGTGTGGTCTAATGACATCAACACCCTATATCAGGTGTGCATAATTATTAGGCAACGT